TAATTTTCGGTCAATGACATTAACCATGACAACATGTAGAGCACACAAGCTCAATTTAGATGGTGGGAAAAAAGTAATTGAATGGAAGCCTCTTCCTATTGGCAACGTGTGTGTATAATACGAACCCTTTGCAGCAAGGGAAGCCATGTACACACTGAACAAATTAGAAAGTGTATCCAACATGAATTACAGGCCAATGAATAAAATGTCGTGATTTATTATAACAAGCATTGGGTACCTGCTGTTGGATAAACTCGTGGTGCTCTTGCTTCTGGTCTTATCCTTCAATGGCCAACAGTTGTTCCCATAAGTGAATGTTCATTCCCTTTTTATTCCCCATCCTAGCAGAGCACCATACCCAAAGGCTACCAATTACCCTACTTGTCATAATCTTCTTATAGATTTTCGTAGCCTTTAATCACACTGCCAAATTCCAGAATTTGACAACAAAGACCAGCGGTTTACAGTCTACAACCAACCACCATCCATTTACAATCCTCTCGCTGTAAGAAACACAAAGGGCCAGGGGGAACGCATACAATTTAACCTTGAGAGACTGTTTGAAATTGGGTCAATTACTCTTTTAATCAGAGTCGCTCCTGATTTACCTTCAGAGTTTCAGCATTATTGACAAAACTCCTTTTTCACAGTTCGGCAAACTCAGATTCTCTACAATTTCTTAAAACTTTGGAACAAAGTGTAAACCTGCACAATCTCTTCAGACGGTCTCCCGAAGAACCTCAGAACATTTCAAAATTCCTGCTTTTAATGTCTTCAGTGACAAATCCATCACCTTTGAGAAGTCTGTGAAGTAGAGCTTTCCTGACACATCAAAAGTGCTCCCTGTATCGTGTGGATTAGTATAGGAGAAACGTGAAGCTGTTTCCCAGCCACCATCAATAATGCTTCCAGCATATTTTTCTATTCAAGACAGGATACAGAATTCACAATGTACAGCGTTGAATATAAATTTAGTCTGCTCCTGAATTTCAGGAGCTGTATTCTTACACACATGCAAACTATAAATAATAATAATAATCCTTGCATTTGATATAGAGCCTTATCACATCTTCAAAACGTCTCAAAGCGCTTTACAGAATATACTGTAAAGTGAATTGACTGTATATTTTGTGGGCGACAGAGGCGTGTGGAGTAAGGAAACTTGCCCAACGCTTCGCCCTGCCCGGGAATCAAACCCAGGTCCTCTCGCTTGCGAGGTGAGTGCTCCAACCACTAAGCTACAGACTATCACACAAAACCTCTTGCACCCATTAGTTATTTTGGACAAATAATTTTTGTGGTCAGAATTCCCCCGTTTCATCACACTAAAGACTCGTTAATAAATCTCTTAATTTTCTTGCATGATTTATTGAATGAGAAATTTTTCCATAGTTTACCCTGCTCAGAGCCATCACATCACATGCACAGCTCCTGAATATCATAAATTTTTATAATGTGTCACAGAAGTAGGTTTAAAGTCCCACTTCTGGGACTCACTGCAGCTGAAATATTTAACAACAGAAAATAGAGACTCTCCTTTTTTGAACAAGAAAAAAAGTTGGCAACTGATGAAATAATAATCCTTGCATTTGACAGTGAGCCTTTCATGTCAGGAGGATGTCTCAAATTGCCTTACAGGATATACTGCAATGTGGAGCAACTGTGTACTTTGCAGGCAAATGTGACAGCTAATTTGCATAGCAATGTCCCACAACCAACCAGCAAGTGAATGATCAATTTTATCTGGGGGATTATTAGCCAGGACACAGGGAAAAACTCCCTTCTCTTTTTAAATAGTGACATGAGATCTTTAAGATCATCCAGAACAGGACGCTGCTCTACACAATTGGCTGCTGCGTTTCGCCCACAAAACGCACAGTCAATCCACTTTACAATGTATTATTCTGTGAAGCGCTTTGAGATGTCTCATTATTATTATAAAAAAAGTTCAATATCATATTAATATGATTTATTGCGCTTCACAATAACTTTGCATGATAACGCATTAAAAATTAAACAAGCAAATACCCCTGGATGTAGCTGAATCGTGATGTGGAAATTGGAAATAATTATTTGGAAATAATTGGCAAACCCATCAACTGAACAAAAGGAATCTGAACCACAAATAAAACCTCCAGGCACTCCAATACTCTGCTTTCTTCAGCACCTTGGATCAATATGTTCATCTGCAGAAGCAGTTCGGAATCCACTGCACTGTAAATGTTTATTATAGGAACATAAGTATTCTAGTCACAGTGTTTTTATAAACCTCATTGGTTTCTTCTATGAATATGATCTAAGATTCTAAGGAATATGGTCTGTGATCTCTGGAATCAGAGTTTTAAAAAAAACTTTAAGAGTTCTGTCCTCTCATCAGCAATACTTTGGTTCATTAAATCAACAGAGTAGCAAAGGGTCGCATTGAAAATAGCACTTTGCTTTAATTATGTGTGCCCACCCATATCGCAACTGAGCCTCACCGTTACAGTCTAGCTCACCTCACAGAAAATGTGCATAGCAAAAAGAGAATCTGCAACAGACTGACTGTTCAAATCACTGAGAAGAGCAAAGACTGAGGAGAGGGAGGAGAACATGTGGCAGGGCTATTCAGCCCCTCGAGCCTATTCCGCCATCCTATGGCTGATCTGTACCTCAATTCCAATGACCCACCATTGCCCTGTATCCCTTAATACCCTGACCTAACAAACATCTAGCCACCTCAATCTTGAGAATGTGAATGGATCCAGCAATAATCACAGAATCATAGAATCTTACAGCACCAAAGGAGGCCATTCAGCCCATCATGCCTGTGCCAGCTCATTGAACGAGCTACCAACCAGTCCCACTCCCCCGCTCTTAATTGCTCTACGTACATAGAGTAAAATCCCAAACCAGGTCTAAATTGACTTGTCTTTCCACAGACTTTTGGGGAAGGGAGAGAGTTCCAGATTTCCACTACCCTTTGGATGAAAAACTGCCTCCTGATTCCTCTCCTAAATGGCCAACTCTAATTTTAAGACAATGTCCCCATTGATCTGGATTCCCCCAAACCCACCCACCCACCAGAGAAAACAGTTTCTCTGGAAACTAGATTTGTTTGTACCTTGGAGGTCTTCAGCTCGATCTTCCAAGTGGTTCCTGAAGTTCCTTAATCCATATAACAGCCTGACTGCTTGTCCAGCACTGACATGAGTCTAATCTACACCACAACAGGTTGTTTTTTGCTTGAATGATAAAAAATGTAAGCTGTCTCTTAACAGCAGTGTCTGGTTTCACTTCTTACCATTATGGGAACAGGTGAATGAAGGAAGTGAATGATCGAGCATGATACTCACAAGATAATTGAACATGGGTTACAACCAAAGAGAGAATAAAATACTCAGCGAGAGATTGAATAAGGAGGATGTTCTTTTAAAATAAAACAAAATGAAAAAGGTTTTAATACTCTTTATTTGATCGCTTGTAAGAAGGAAGAAGAAAGAAATCGACTCATTATTTATACAGAATTTGATGAGCAGCCCAATTGCGTGTATTTCTCCAATCTCATTGTGCGTTGTTCAAAGTTGCTTATAATCAAGGAATAAAAAGACTATTTCTACTGGAATAGCATGAGTACATTTTGAGCATGAAGCTATTTATTTATTTACACGCACACACGTCAGAATACTATTTGCTGACAATAGTGTCATTTTGCACAATCATTCACTGGCTAACGTGGGTGAAATTAGCAGCAAGTCAATATTCCCCGAGGCACCACAATCTGCTGAAAAACACCTCTGCAATTTTTACCATAGTAAAAAGTGTGTATTGGAAGCAACTAACACAAGTGCAAAAACTAACTGCAAGACTGGAAACGCACCTTGTGAATCAATAGCACTGGCTGACAAGCCAGTTTCCATTTCAGACCACAGATTGCTTACAAAGCCTTATGTGCTCTTTTATCCTTGGCTTTGAAAAGAGACTATTAAACCTCAGACTCTGGCGGCAATTTTAGATAGCATCTTCCGCGGAGTTGAAATGAGGCAATTATCAGAAAATTCATCCACTTTTTTTTAAGTTAAAACAAACCAGTTGTAAATCTGTGGAATGACTCCAATCCACTTGCGGGTTTCTCAGTCGATAGCATTCCTTGGATGCTGCTGTCCTGCTTTTGCAGGATTTGATTAGATATTTCCATAAACAGCAATTGGCAACCAGATAGCATTTTGAAGACACACATCAGCATTCCTGAACTGTAAAATGTTCTGAAACAATAAGCAAATAGCTACTCAAGTCAGTTCCAAGTCGGTATGAGCATTGCTCAGATGGCTATAAACTCAGTAGGAACTTGGGCGTAAAATACAAGATTTTGTCCAATCGTCCAGCAAATTAACCATCACTGGTAGTTACTGAAGTTTATTTCTAAAATCACCTATTTGAGGTCTTGCACTGCATCACTGCCATTTCAAATGTGCTCCACTGTTTTTAACTGAAAACAATAACCCCTCAAGTGATAAAGTGTATATTTTGATGCTGTTTCAGCTTGATCGTGTATTTCACTGAAAATTAAACATCCAAATGACTTGATAAATCTAACTGCTAGATCTATGTACAGAGCTATGTTTGTCCTAAAAAGTAATAGTCAAAGGACCATAGTTAATGTGTTGGTCTCAATGGAAAAAGAGCATTATTTTTTATTAGAATGTAGAATTTTAGACATCAGCTGTACAGAAACTGCTCCTTTTCCATGGGGCTAACACACTGACCCACCACTGCTCTACGGCAAGTTAAGGTGGAACCTGTGTTCACACTCACTGGTTCCTCAATCGGCTCATTTTCTTGCTGGACCCTTAGAGCGGAGACTGTTAGAGAGACTGGTCAGCCTCTTTGTATGTGACACATCTGGTTACAAACAGTCCAAGACTGACATTGGCAGCAAGTCATCCGAATGGTCAACATGTTTAGGGATACTGTTGATAGCATAGGGTAAATTAATGGTAGCATTGATGCCCAACACTAACCTTAAATTAAGTGATTAACTTTCTTCCACTATTTTGTTCTTCGAGACTTCCTGAAATCCAACTGGTCCAGTCGCCCGACTACAAATAGCAGCATTGGTACATGGGCTTAGCCTAGAGTGAGAAAAATAAAAGTAAATGATATACTGTACAAAAATGGAAGGGTTTTCAACTATGTTCTTGTCTTCAGTGCTGTGTGGAAATGTTTCCAGACCTGGTGGCTCACTGACTCAAAATCTTCCTCAGCTCCTGGACTGGATTTTAATTAATATTTGAAAACCTTGAAGTAAACTTCAGCATTCCTCCACAATTAGATACTGATATAACGACGCCTTCAACGAACAAGTGATAATCTTCAGAGATCCTATATAATGGATCAATGGGCAGCCAATTCACAACCTGCAATCAGAAACCTCAACCTCCAAACGATGAGTTTCTCCCCCCCCCCCCATTTGGTCACTCAATCGACAAATGAACATCAAATGACTGTTGTTCAATTCAGAACAAGTTTGCATAATTGTAAGCACTTATTATGTTGTTGCATGAGATGTCTCCTTTACATTAGTATTGCCACACATATTTCTGACAGTAACATGTGGTACATCATCTTTACTGTCAAAGGAAGCATGTTGAAACAGAGAAAAAACATGCTAAGTTTCGTTAAATCTATCTGCAAATTTCAGCAAAAAAACATCAAGCTGACAAAATTTACCAGCATCCTGAGCAGAAATTCACCGATTTCGGTCATTAGTTAAAAAACAAAGGGAAGTTTAAAACAGATGGAAGTTTAAATCCCAGACAATGAAATACATGAATAAGCTACAGAAAACTTCACATAAAGTGCAAAATTCCTTTTCATTAGAGAAACAACCACCTTCTGTTTTATTACATCCAGCCTACCATCATTTGAGATTGTCAGGCATGTGGGGCACATAAAATAGAAGCAGCACATCCTGTCTAGCAGTAATGCACATTACAAGTTTTATGGACCGAATGGTCTGCTCCTATTCCCATGTCCTTGCCCACTCCATAATAATGCAGCATTAAACAGTCTCATTACTAATTGGGCAGATAGGGAGATTAAAACGCACTGCATTTTAGTACACGTTATATTGTACAATTAATTGCATTATTCAAAATATTTTTTGGTAGTAGTCATGGATGAGGAGAAACACAGTAGCTCATCTTTCCCCAAATGAATTAGATCCAAATATCATGGTATGATCTATAAACAGATGGGAAACTATTTCTATTGCTCTGTTGGTAATCTTAACACTCTGAGATTGACGAAGAACACTCAACTCAGTCTAAGGGCATTCCTCTGAATCATGTCTTGATACAAATAGTTGTAAGTAGGTATTAGACCAGAATGTCATGGATTCAGAATCAATTGAGGTATTTTAGGAGGTGATAAACAGATAGATACTTGGGAAGTAAGGGTTTTAAGAGATATAGAGAAGACACAGGAAATGGGATTAGAAAGATAACAAACTACCATAAATGAATAAAATGGAGAAGGTCCAATGGGCCCATTCCCATGATGATCAAAAACAATAATAATAATTTTTGAATTTAATATAGCCTTGTATCACGTTGTCGTGATGTCTTAAAACATTTCACAGGATATACTGTAAAGTAGAGTGACTGTGTATATTTTGTGGGTGAACACGGCAGTCAATTTAGGCACAGAAATGTCCTACCAGAAGGGGAGAAATAAACAGTAAAATAAACAGCCTTGGAATAAAAACAAATAGTGCAATATGACATTAAAAAAACTGATGTTAGCTTTCCTGATTTCACCAACAGAAACAGAAAAACAATAATCCGTGGAAAGCAAAACTTGTGCCTTTGTGTAAAAAAGTAATCCACCTAAATCTAGCAATTTTGAGGAACAATCTGCCAGATATTTCAGCTAAGACTTTAGGAAGAGTGTATTTGAATGTCATATTTGTTGGCAGGCAGTACCTTTCGCTTACCCTGGTCCCTTTTGAGTTCTGAAATAAAGTCCGTGACACAAACTCAATCGATCCAGTCAGGTAGAATAACAGTCTCTACTGAGCCTTCCCATTTCAGCTTGGGATAAAGTGGTGTCAGAGAATTCAAGCAGCTGGTAGGTACATTGCAAAACTCTTCTAATCCGCAGCTCAGATCCAAGTTGGCTTGTCTGACAATCGGATGCATTTCTGAATTGGCTGACAGCAGAGAACCACTGCTGCAAACCCAGGTAAGCTCAGAGGTACTGCAGCACCTGTAGTTTGGCAGGAGACAGGAGGATGACAGGTGGGCTAAATGTGTGGACGGGCTGGGATTCCTTCGATCTCAAGAATGGTTCAGAGCAAGAAGTTTCAACTTGAAAATTTGGGATTAAAAAAAGCAGGACGAACACGCCAGCACATGGCAATCATGTCTGCATATACAGCTCTCATCAGCCACAAAGGCATAGGAAATACACTATTAATGTTTTTTTTGACCGGTGCCTTCCATAATTACTGTTTTGTGTAAAATCCACCCTTCCCTGAACTCTCTAGTCAATTTCCTTGGATCGCTTTTTCGGGAATAATAATTCCCTTAAAAAAAAATAACAATTTGGTCACTCAATCCACGACTGTTTGTAGTATGCTGCTACGTGCAAATGGCTGCCGCGTTTCGCCCACAAAATATGCAGTTAATTCACTGTACAGTATACTCTGTGAAGGTGCTTTGAGATGTCTCAAAGACATGATAAGGCGCTATATCAAATGCAAGGATTATTATTATCTATTACCTCTCCACCAACGCTCATCACAGTGAGGCTCTGAACTCAGATAACCAAGACTCACAGCTACAAAGGATCTTGGACACCAGTTCATGAATTCCCTGACATTCACAACAACATTCACTACCATACGACAGCCTTCTTCTGGGCTCACATTGAGCGAAAAATTATTGTAGATAAATTGTGCAGCATATACACCTCCAGCTATGCTTTGTTATTCCTTTAGTTTAACAATGGAACCGCTTTTGAGAATTCAAAACAAAGCCTCGGGCACACCAGCGTCAAGGCAATACAATTTGTTTTTTCCAGCACTGAGTAAAAGGGTAATAGGACTGAATAGCTTGGAATCACTCTCGAAATGAGAGCACTATTCACCGCTCTTCAGAAATGGTTCAATAGACAGCAGTACTCACAGAAAAAAACTTAGTACCAAACTTGGTGTTAAGAGATTGTACACAATACAAAGAAAGCTTTGTTAGCCAAACCATGTACTTTTTCCATGCTCTTTTTGCTTCTGCGGTATTATCTGATACCTGCCTCATTTGGGTTAGCTGAACAACAATATGTTGCCCCCCCAAAAAAGCAAGTGAGTGCATTAATGGAGGGAACTATCCAGATCTGTCACATACGTTGGTAGGAAAGCTTTCGAGCTTTGTTCAGGAAAGTGCTCCAGCTTCTCTGAGAGTACTGCACAACAGCTGTCAGACCGACACAAAAAATCCACCACAGAACTAAAAGCTTTTCATCAACACCAACCTGTCAGGTTTTAAGAGCCACTGAGAATGTCGCATATTCTGACAGTCCAGATTCCAATTCTGGTGAGAGCAGAAAGGGAAGATCTTTGGTAACTATATGGCAGTAATCCTTGCCGCACATCAGAATACTCACTACGATATTAAAGCAATATCACTAACAGAAACGTGTCAAAATAAGGCAGGCTGGGTTGTGTGTAGATCATTGCATTGGAGACCACAAGGTCAAGATTGAGATTGAGGTCAAGCGCCCAATGATACAGGCAACTTAGTTTTGAATGAAAAACTTCAGCGAGAGGATATTCACCTGAAACACCTTCCTGGGTGTGTGTGCTTCACTGGGTTTTATATGTTAAGCCTAGACGTTTCTGATCTGTGTGGTAATAGCTGCAATTTGATGAGCAGCCCACAATGAAGGAAATAAACAGTGAAGAGAATAATTGGTGTGAGGTTCACATTGATCCCCAAGGCAGGCACTCACTCTACAAGGGCAAAAAAGTAATCCAGTTCAAGTTCAAACTTACCAGAGGATAAAGATGTCACTTCTGGGAAATGCTAATGGACCGTTAGAGATCTAGTTAACAAAACCAAAATTGTAACAGCAACACAATGATTTCAGATTTACAGTGATATAATCATAATCCGTGCACGTTGTCAAGATGTCTCAAAGTGCTTCAGAGGATTTGCCTTTTATTTTTTGAATGTCCGGTGATTGTATTTGTAGGTGAACATATGAAGATGATGCTGCTGATTCTATTGTAATAACAACAAGTGGAGTGGTGTAAAGTGGAGTCCTGTAGCTCAGTGGTTAGAGCAGTCGCTTTGCAAGTGAGACACCTGAGTTCAATTCCAGGCAGAGGGAAACCTTGGGCAAGTTTCCTTACTCCACACACCTGATAATAATCCCGCAAAAAAACCCAATAATAAATTGATCACCTTAATCCATGACTGTTTGTGGGACGCTGCTGTGTGCAATTGGCTGCCGCATTTCGCCCACAAATTTAGTCAATTCACTTGACAGTCTATTCTATGAAGCGCTTTGAGACATCCAGAAGACGTGAAAAGTGCTATATCAAATGCAAGGATTATTATTATTATCTCTAAAAGATACAAATTCAATCAGTTTAAATAAGCATACATTCGCTGAAGTTAAAACAGTGATAACTGACGAGCCATTGGAATCTATTTTCCGGTTTGATCAGAGGACATCATTTGTTCAAACCAAGTATGTACATTTGCGCATCACCATTCAGGAGATGTGAACAGTTATTGGTTGTATTCAGGGCAATAATAATAACCCTTCCATTTGATACGGCGCTTTATCATGTCTTTGAAACGTCTCAAAGCGCTTCACAGAATAAACTGTAAAGTGAATGGACTGTATATTTTTGGGGGCGAAATCTGCTTCACTAAGAAGGGCAAGGGGAATCACCAAGTGGATTTCAGAAATAAAATATCAATTATGAAGGGGAAACAAAATGATTGCCAACCAAGTTAACTTCGAATTTCGATTCACACTTTGGGGTTTCTGACTTTTTCAAGCTATAACAACAGCGATCGATTAAACCTGTATGTTCACTGCTGGTCTAGCACAGCATTCCTGCTTC